TAGTTGGACTTGAGGGTCGTCTTGAGGAAATTATGAATTGGATAGACAGTCTTTCCATCCATGCTCGAATGATTGGAATTTATGGCATGGGTGGGATAGGCAAGACAACTCTTGCCAAGCACATCTACAATCAACTCTCAAATAAATTTGTGCATGTCAGCTTCCTTCCAGATGTTCGAGAAACTACGAGGCGCCACGGTATTACGTATTTACAGAGTCAACTCATATCGGATATACTACATAGCAAAAGTCAAGTGTCTAGAATTGATGATGGAATTAACATAATCAAATCTAGATTCAAAGGAAAAAAGGTTCTCATTGTTCTCGATGATATAGATGACAAGAATCAACTACATGCACTGGCTAGGGAACAAAATTGGTTTATGGCAGGTAGCATGATCATTGTTACAACTAGAAATGCAGCCGTTCTTGATCAATCTGAATTCGAGGGAGTCTACAAGTATGAATTGAATGGATTGAATGAGGCGCATTCTTTGCTTTTGTTTAACAAACACGCATTTCGTACGGACCATTCTCCAAGGGACTTTGAGCGTATATCTCATGATATCACATCCACCATGGGTGGGCTTCCCTTGGCACTTCAGGTTGTAGGTTCATACTTGTACAAAAAAACGGATCGAAAAGTGTGGGAAGATGTGCGGAAGCAATTAAAAAGACAACCACATAGAGATGTCCAAAAGATATTGCGAATAAGTTATGATGCATTAGAAGATGGACATAAGCAGATTTTTCTCGATATTGCTTGTTACTTTATTGGCAAAATTAGCAATTATGCCATGTACATATGGGAGGACGATGGGCTTTATCCAAGTCAAGGAATTGAAGAGTTGAAGTTGAGGTGCTTAATTAAAATTGGAGATGATGGTGAGTTTGAGATGCATGATCAACTGAGAGATCTTGGAAGGAGCATTTTTTGCAAAGGACAACTACTTGACAAATGTAGCGGACCATGGGACAACAACAACTACAACGGAACCTCAAAAATACTAAGCAATCCAGGGGTAAAATATGGCACTCCTTCTTTTTCTCTCCCTCTTATTTTAATATATTTAATCTGATCTATTCTAATATTTCATTTAGCACCTTCCTTTCTAGGAAAAATATTTTTGTAAACATCCATTTATGTCCATCGTAGATTAATTGTGACAACTAAATAAATATTAGTATCTGAAGGATGAAAGAGTTAAATCATTTGATTCGATTTCATTGATATAAATTACATCCGTAAAAAATTAATTTACAATCAATTTAATATCCTTTAACTACAAAATATACACTATAAATCTCATTTACTAAAAGCATGCAATTGTCATATCTAGTTGAAAATATTGATAATATGAAGGACTACAATAATGATGAAGATGAAGTATAAACATCATAGATCATATAAATGAAGATTTCCTGGTTGAAAGGAAAAAAAAAAGATGGTATGTGCCAATTATAATAACTGATAATTAATTCAAAGCAATAAGTTTGGAAAGAATTTCACACTTATCACATATGCTTGCATTTTAGTACGGCCGAATGTATTGGTGGTGCTTCTATGATTTATGAATCCAATGTTTGATATTTTTTTCTCCATTTTGATTTTGAAGATACCCATCCCTCTACTCTACTAGTTATATCTATCTCTTTTCATTCTTATTTCATCTTAATAAATAAGATAGCAAAAATCCCCTTAAAAATATTTTTAGGAAAATCTTATTATTTTTTAAGGTTTTATCACATTAACCATGCTCATTTCTTATAACAAACATTTCTATCTGCCATAAGTTGTTTTATATTATTTATATTTTTTGGGACAATGCCTCTTTTGTGCCAAAAACCGCTAGACTAACTTGACTATTTATAAAAAAAATAAAACTTGACTAATGAGAGGAAATGTTGTGCTTATTATTATATCCATATCTTTGTGTCCATTATATATGATTTTCGGCATGAAGCCAATTTTTTCAACTATGTTTCTCTTTTACTTATATTATCAATGTGATTTTATTATTATATATTGTCCATTTGGATGCCTCATAGGCTCATGACTGATGAATGGCCAGGAGTTAACCTTACCAATTAACCAAGAGATGTTGGGCAAAGGAAACAATTAATAGTCTTGATATAATTTGAAATAGTTTGTTGCTATGATTTAAATCACACTCTTTTGTTGATCCAATAACTTCTTAGCATTAGCAAAAAGAGCACACCATACAGGTGTTTGAAAAATGAAAAAAAGTCAAATATGTTTTGAATAGATAGAAACATTGAAAGATGATCCTTACCCAAAAAATAACATTGAAAGATGATAATTAGTATAGAAAAAAAATATTAAATGATTATATGACACGAGAGATTTTGATTTAACTTCGGAAAATGAAATACTTATGGGACTAAATTTCAATTGTCTCGACTATTTTAAATATGATTTTATTTATTTTGTTATATCCTATTTCTTAAGTTCATTTTGATGAAATATATGCAAAAACTTTTGACGAGGTTTGAAATCCCCTTTCTGTATAATAGATTTTTTAATGTATTACACAATATAGATGATGTACAAGCGAAAATTAAGAAAGATAGCGTGAAATTATGATTACAACAATTTAATGACTTTTTCTACTAATAAACTTAAGAGAAATTATACCCATCGCAGGTTTTTTAGCGGTTAATACATAAAGTAGAGATAACAAAAGACGAGTCAAACTGCAAAAGTGGATCAAACCAGCCAAAATGGCAATTCTAACCAATTGAACTTTTGGGAGAAAATAAAGGTATTATTATTAAAGTGAAACAAAGCCACATGAGATTTTTTTTTTCACCATTTTCAACTCATCAAATGATCTGTTTTAGCAAGAACATTAAACATTAATGTTTTGACTTATAAAAGCGACTTTTTTTTTTCGATCCCTGTCAAAGTACACGCGCTACAAAATTTGAAAAAAAGAGAGCCAAAGATAAAACATCAAGGTGCATTTGCGTCAGTTGTTTTAAAGCAAGAACTATTTTTTTTTCTTTATTTTCATGTCATTTGTTCAAATTTCTAAAGGCTGTCAAAAATAAAAATTAAACGTGATTTCACGTGTCCATATTTATATACGGGAAGGATAGCAAGATAACAAATCGTGCGAATCCAAGATTTAAAAAAAGCCAAAAAACTAAAAAAGTAAAAAAAGTCAACTGAGAGACTCCATGGATTGATTTGATATATAACTGGGAATTGAAAAGGATTCCGTCATTTTCTTTGTCCCGTCCAATTCCTTCGCCCATATCCAGACGCCCTCAGATGAACAATTTTAAAACTTGCAGAGACGCTCCTGGTTCTTTGACTTGATGGGGGGAGCTTCAAGCGGAGGCTCCAACGAACTCCTTTCTGAAATAAGATGGCTTGAGTGGTCCGTCGAGGGAAGCGATTTGTTTCTTCCGACGACCAATTTGCATCTACCGAAATCATCGGTGCTGGATTTATCATGGAGCGGCATCAAGCGGAGACTCCAACGAATATGCATCTGCCGAATTTCTCAATGTTGCGTCTTGGGAGACGATCCGCCTCTTCCGACGATCAGTTTGCATCTACCGAACTTATCGGTGCTGGATTTATCACACAGCATGGACATCACAGAGGATTGGGAAGGATGGAGTACATTCATGGTAAGATTGGGGGGGAAAAAAAAAGAGACATCCTCCCTCTCTCTCCGTGATTTAAGATGGGGTTTTGTTTTTGTTTTTGTTTAGCCGATCCCCACACTCATTCTTTTGACAGCTTTATTCTCCTCTCTTTTTTGTGTAGACGGCAAAGCGGCTACAAGTTCTCGACCTCAGCTGGTGCGATGGTTTAAGATGTACTCCTGATCTCTCGGCTTTCACGCAGTTGAAGATCCTCACCTTGAGTTTTTGTACCGGACTGGAGCATCTCCACCCTTCTGTTGGCAAACTCAAGAGCCTCGTTTCCTTGGACTTGACTTACTGTCAAAGTCTCAAGGAGCTACCAGAGGAAGTGGGCGAATTAAAAGATTTAGAAGAACTGAGTGCTGTCGATTGTGTGTCACTGAGTGAAATCCCTAGCTCAATTGGGGATCTACAGGATTTGCAACACCTGGACTTGAGTTGTTCTGGGATTGAAAAGCTTCCCAGTGCTATTGGAAGGTTGAAAAATCTGCGGACTCTAAGTCTCCAAGAATGCAATAGTCTGAAAGGGGCAATTCCAAGTGAAATCGGTGACTTGTCTTCGCTCGAGTTTCTCGATTTCGCTTTGTCACCGATATCTGACCTGCCAGAAAGCATCCGGAATCTTTCTTCTCTCCGACGCTTTTGGCCAGGGTACTGTAACAATCTCGGGTCGCTGCCAGAGCAGCTTCCTTCGGGCTTAAAGGATCCGTGGGTCTCTTAGTCGCAGGTTGCCACAGCTTTCTAGCCTAATCCACCTAGAACAACTCCATCTTCGGGCATGCCATCTACTTGAAGACATCCCCGAGCTTCCCTCGAGACTCTTGAAACTCTGTATTGTGGAGTGTGGTAAGCTGATATTGCTTAAGCTCGACGGATTGAAGAACTTGGAAGCGCTTTGGAAAACAATGTGTAGTTCAATTGAAAGGCTTCTTTGTCTAGAATCACGGTGTTTGAAGACATTAGAGGTTGTCAGGTGCAACAATCTAGTCGAAATTCGAGGTCTTCATGGTGCGAAGTTCTTAAAAGCGTTGGATTTTACAGGATGCGAATCAATGGAGATGTTGCCAAATTTGACGGGATGTGAGAAGTTACAATGTCTAATTGTTCGAAACTGCAAGAAACTTACTCAGCTTCGGGGACTTGAAAAGTTGGATTCGATTGATTTGGATATTTCTGGTTGTGACTCATTGGAAGCAATACCGAAATTATCTGGAACGCGCCTCATTAGAAATTATGAACGAAAGCTTTCTTGTTTTCGCTATTGAAATGTTATCTAGGAGAGATAATGTTTGAGGAATCTTATATTACAAATGTGAGACGAGTCATGTTTCCTCAACAGAGGTAAATAAGCAGTGACAATCATTTTTCTTCTGAGATTCATGGCCTGCTTTCATCACTATCTTCTTTTGACAAGAAAGTTTTCCATGACAGGGTTATGTACTTTCTTAAATTGCTAGTCTTACATAATTGAAGGAGTGGGGAGTTGGTCATAGAAGCTAACATGATGCTTCAGCTAAGACCAAAATGTAGACCCAAATGTCAATAGAAGGCATAATAAGATTCTTCATCCTTGAATGGCCAGCGTGAACGAATAGAGTACGACTTTTCTCGAAGCTCTCTTTGTTTAATATGATTTGCTCCACACCGGGTATCTATTTGATTGATTTTGGAAACTCTGAATTTGCCTCTGTATAATTGCTGTTGATTACGTTATAGCAATGCTTTTCGTTTATCCTTCCATTGGCAGCTTCTGAAGACTGCAAACAGATAGCAGCTTGTGAGGCAAGAATGAAAATATCAACAAAGGTAAACGAGAATTACCTAGTGATTAACAGTTCCCCTATCGATAAACCCAGGATTTGAAATTTTCATCTAGAGGCCGATGAACTTCTGCTACTCATTATTGTTTACTACGCCCAGAATTTCCCAATCTCGAAAGTTCATATTTCTTTGAAAAGAATCCTTGGCCATTTTGAGTTCCTTTGTGAGTTCTTTTGTATGTCAAATTTGACTAATGGCAGATATCCTATTTGGGACAAACGCCTTTCGATTTTCCGTGATGAACGAAAACCCTATCATGTTTCTTATTGTTCCCTTGATGTCCTGCATTAACCTTCTCAGAAGAGCATCACTTCCCAGTAAATATGATGAACTGAGCTAAAATAAAATTCAAGGTTCAAGTATTTCTGGTTGGTGACCAAAAAAAAATGTTAAAAGTAGTTTTAGCTAGTCTGTCATATATGAATGTAGACCACCTTGACATTACCAGTAGTCAAATTGTTGTTTTGAAAGATTATCAAGCAAGGTAAACTGTTGCTGCTTCTATGACAGGTTTGATTGGTCTATGTAACGATCTAGGCTTACTTTGGGACTTCAACTCAGTTAACTGTATCGATGTCCTTTTGCATCAATGGACAATTTTTTGCCCGTCTGTGAAACAATCTGGGACAAGGAGCTCAAGAATATGCTAATTAGTTTGCATCCCGTTTGATCCTACTGTTGTCATGGAATCGTTTTATCACATGCTTGATCTAAGTCTGGCTAACTTGGCTGAGGAACTTCAAATTCCATGCCAGAGACCGATCAAAATGAAGAAGATATATTTTGTAGAGGACCCATCAGCAACAGCTGAGGACCATCTTTTGTGCCAACCTCAAAGAGGCTCGTGGGCCAGCTGGAGTGTCTTGAGTAAGTTTTGATGCTTGTGAGGATCTAAAACACTTTATCTGGTCTCAACAAGCACATACCTGAATGATTTTAAATGTTGTATTTTCAGTTGAGTGCTTTTTGTATGCTCATGAGGTTCAACCTCTCTGTTAATCAAATATGTAGCTGCTGATTTTTTTGTACGTCACCCTGATGCAGAGGTGTTTGATGCCGTTGCATTCTAATGTTATCACTCCTGAACTCGATGAGGCTCTGCAGAAGGAGGTATGCACTACTAGTCATACCATAACAATGAAACAATAACCTGTGTGCTTATACTATATGAGCTGTGGAATTTCACCTGAAAATCAGTATGCAAGTATGCATGCGGACAATCTCCTCCATTTCTATTAGTTTATCATTGTGATACTATCCTTTGAATGTTGTCATATAGGTTTCTGATTTTTTTAATTTGATAAGCTCAATTCTCATGCGACGTTGACTTTGTGAAGTTGAAATTCACCTCCTAGAAAACTATCCTGTATTGCTGATTTTGCTAATGGGATATTGCAAAATAACCAAGTAACAAATTCATCTTTCTGTTCTGTGTTTTAGGCACTTCACCTTTTTAGCATAATTTTGTTGACGTCAATTATGTTCCTAAACATAAACAAGGAGATTGTTGCTAATTGCTTATGTATCCCAAACCTATTGTTTTCTTTCTCATTGGCCAGCTGATGAAGCTTATGTTCATTGCTATCCAACTGCGATTGGGGCAAATGATGTTTGTGCATTCGTGCCTTATCTTTCATGGTGTATATTGTGATGCTCCGATCTCAGTTATCTTCATTTTATGATAGTTAGTAAATCCTATCCTTCTTGTGTAGATTCAACCTGCATTTCATAAAATTCAGAGAGCAAATCCCCAAACATCACAGGACGGAGATGTGGGCAGGAGTGAGATAAGTCACGAGATGTTATGGAAAGGCGTTCCAAAGTTCTTTGCCAATGGTTCTTATAATGTGCTCCATGTTAATAATCTTCATAGGATTCTTGAGATAAAGGGACCTCTTCTAATGTGGTGTAGTAGTCCTCTGCAAGCTTTGGCATCATGCTATTATTTAGCAAAGGTCAAATTTCAAAATGCTTGCAGGAAGACCGCATGTGCAGGTGGTTCTGTATGTGAAGTTAAGCACAAAGTCATGTTTGTCAACAAGACTACCGTTTAGATGTCGACTTCAAGCTGTGAGAGACTTCTTTCATGGAAAAAGCGAATGTCGTGGAATCAATAAATAATCTGTCAATTGCAGGCAAGATTTTCAGTGAAAAGGTTCCCAAAAGACTAGTTTCTCATTTAGAAGAATTTTGAGCACAAAATAAAAGTCTTCCTTAGCGTACAATCATCTCTTGGAATTCGGAAAGTTCATATATTGACATTTTGTCTTTACCAAAAAAAAAAATATATTGACATTTTGCAATCACTTTAATCATATAATCTCAAACTTGATTCCTTTTCGTATGAATCTATAAAGCAAAAGGAACACAGCCATATATTTTCATACCTGAAACCAAATTTTCTTAGGGATTATCTACATTTGAACTTGTTTCAACGGGTAGGCTCCAAGTAGAACTTGTGCGGAACCTGGAATTGCTCACTCCTATTATCTACTTGAATTTTAACTCAATATTTTCCGGAGCTCAAGACAAGGCCAAGTAGCTTGTTAAGCCAAGTTTGAATCTTTAAGTACTAAATCATACACAATGGAGGTCGCATTCACAAATCAAAACACTAATTAAACATAGCAAACATGAAATATTCTAATTTTGAGAATATTAATTAAATATAACACGAGAAGAGTCGCAAGTAAAGTCAATGTATTGATTGTATAATTTATTACTTAATTGCTCAACCAATGCCTAGGCATTTAATCCAAAGGGCAATGGCTTTGTCTTTGACTGCTCATACAACATTAGTTACGACCTTATCGACTAAATTGGTTTGAAGTTCGAACATGAATCGATCGGGATGATTGGATGAACGTGTTAAACCGATTGAACCATTCGGTTATGTTCATGGTTTTCTCCCTTTTCTCTTCCACTTTGGTTTGATGGTAACGATTTGCTTTGAACTTGTTTATAAAAGTTCTATCACATACATCAAGATCCTATTAATAACAGCCATTCAAACAATAACCACGTAAGTTTCAAAAGGACAGGAGAAGGTTTGCTTTGGTCTCTTTGGTTCTCCCCATATTTTTTAACCTCTGAGCCTCACAGGAGACGGTACTAGAAATATGAAAACTGTCCTCAAATCAGAATGGAACTACAGAAGTCCTTTCGGTTCATTTAACACCAGTGAACTGCATATTAGAATATACAGCTTCGGTAGTTTGCCATATGATAAATCCTATAACGAAGAGGAATCGAAATAGACAAATTGAGGAAATTAGGGGGTTAAATAACCCCAAAAACAGAGGCTTAAACAAAATTTGGCCAAAAAAAAGTTCTAAACACGGAAATCGACCACGAAGTAGATCTAAATGTCAAATCCTACAAAGAAAGCAGTCTTCTTATTTTGCAATCAGCATCATGTCGTTGAGAAAAAAGCTTACTGAAAAGAGGAGAAATTAGCAGGTTAGACAAATTTTACTTTTGCAAGGGAATGCATGCATGCATGCCGAAACATGTTGCAGAAATTCAAAAGGTAAGGAAATTCGAAAAAAAAAAAACCCTCCGGCAAATATAAATATATATGAATGTCACATAGGAGTCATCTCATTTTCCTATGTTTTGAATGCTGGAGATTGATGAATGAAACAACGATTCGAACGAACATTATACCGGAAAGATCGAACATTGTGGCACTCTTCTGGATACTTAATTACCGTTAGATACATATTAAGATGATAACCCAATAAACAAAACAAACCTCTCTGTTTCCTCCTTACTGATTTCATCCTTTTCTCTATTGATGACGATGAGCATGATATTCCGTAATTACTACATATTAAAATCGAAGCACAAAGCTTGAGCATTTGCGCTTCAACCATTGGAACCCTCGTTTGAAAGAAGCCTTGAACTTGCCCTTGACCGAATAAAGCTTGTATCTGGCCACCCTCCTCTTCCTCTTCTTCTCCGGGCCATTCCACCCCAACGGTTTTATCGACTTCTAAAACATAAGAAATAGGCAGATGCCAGAGTCCATCTCGACTTACAACATCAGGTTTGTCTATTCCCATCCCAAAGGCAATGGTAGCACATACAATCTGGACCTCTCCAGTATGCCATTTCTTTTGAACAGCTACTCTTTGACGGGCTGCTAATCCAGCATGATAGTACACCGTCTTTATACGGCACTTCTCATTCAAGTATTTTGCGACGTCAACACATTCACTCTTCGAAAGGAAATATACTATGCCACAAAAATTAGCAAAACGATTCTTCAGCAGCTCTCCAAGCTGCTTCAATGGTTCCTTGGTCTTAGCTATGACCCCTCATATTTTAGATTTGGTCTATCAAAGCTTGTCTCAAGAACAAGAGCATGGGTTGCAGAATCATTGTTAAAAGAATAAAAGGACGTGCCAAGATCTGCCAACGTTTTGTCAACCTCCTAAACAACTAGACCATTGTGGCCAGACTCCTGGAATTTGCCCGGTAACTGTTGTGGCTTCTTCAGGTGTCCACGATTGCTTCACCAAATAGCCAACCCTATACAATAGTGAGACATTCTTCAAGCTGCATATTTGGTCCATGCAATTACATGGACCAATCCCAAGCCAAATCTAGGTCCATGATTAAAAAACTCGAGCCACAAACTTAACAACTGTCAACCAAATTAGTTTTGGGCATGGGAAAAAACATGCCAAGCTACCCTGCTTTTCTTTCTTTTTCTTAATCCCTTCAAACTGGTGGGGCAAAAAAGAGTGAGACAACTTCACAGTTTTCAGAAGCATACCATGGATTCTAAAGGATGTCTGGCCAGAAGTTGAGTGGATGAATTGCCCGAAGTATTGCTTTGATTAGGAATGTGGATTTCCTGCCCATTTTACTGCCAAATATCTAATCTTCATCTTCATTGTCAGTAGAGGAATCCACCTCAAGAAAAGTTAGGTTTTTCTCAGGTTGCGGAGAATCTTCTATAGGATTAACATTGTGCACAACATTGCATTCGCCGTCATTAGGGATATCTTGGCCATACATGTCAGTCGACACTCCACAAGCTTCTGGTTCCGCAGCTTGCAAATCATCCCAATCCTCAGTATCTTGCATAGTTACAGCAAGTTCTGCTAGAAAATCATTGCTACAGTGCTCCACAGTGATAAACTCTCAACCTTCATCGCCTTAAGTAAACCAAAAAAAGAGAGATGATTTTGCAAGTTCCATGACAAACAAGAGATCTAACATATCCAATCTACAATATATAATTTGCACTTAGTTCAATGAGACACGATATTAATATTAATGCAAGACACCATAAGTGATTTGCAGTGAGTTCAGAAATAAGCTGGACAGTTCACTAGTCAAAAGGACTACTCCGCCAAACCCACAAAGAAACAGGGATGAGATTAATGCTCAATGAACTAAATTTAACCAGCTCCAGTCCATTCAATTCCAAAGTAGACTATTCTATAGCCATCATCAGAATAGCGACTAACCGCAATAAATCTCCTTATTAGCAATGCACAATCAATCAATTTAAAAATTATCCACGCAACACAATAAATTATGTCATTCCCTAATGACCAGATATCGCGCAATTTGGCCAATAAGCAAGAAAAACTGCCATTCAAAGTAACCTAAACACATCAAACAGGAACGGTGCCGGACATTTTGCCCGTCAATAAGACTACTTCACTAAATTCGCTCCCAGCTATTCAAACCTAGAGCAGACTATTCCACAGCCATCATCATCGTGGGGAAAAGAAATACCTAATCAACCTCTGTAACACTAATCAGAATAAAAACGCGGGACAAATTAGTGATTTAAGTAACGTAGAGCGAAACAAGAGGGTCCAAGCACTTACTGGGGGACTGCTTGTCAAAGCCAAACTCGAGAGCCAAGCTCAGCAACTGAGCTTTCGCTACCTCCAAGCCCCGATCCTCCACGGAAGTCAACCTGTTCCAGTGATTCGATTGATCGATCAACGATGCACAAGTTGGAATCGAATTGATTGCCAGTTCTCTAGAGAGCATGCGCCATTGCACTTTTAAAGATTCTGGTTTTACATCCTTGACTACTCCTTAACATGCACACAACCTGGCTGAAATCCTTTTTGGCATATAGAGCAATGCACACTGCTGGTAGATTATCTTTTCTTGCTCTCCCTGATTCTCAGTAATAGCTTTTGATTGACTTGGACATTGTGTTGTGGACGACAAAACGCTGACTACATGCCATAGAAAAATAATTACTGAACCAACAAAAATAAGTCGAAAAAAACATTATAAGCAGGTCAAGTTAGATCAGATTCATTTGTCACTTTTACAGCAAAGAAAAGAACTTTATCCTAGTTTAACTTAATTTCAACACACCAAAGTTCCATGCATGGAAGAAAGAATTTGACTTGAAAAAAAACATAATTCGCTAGTTCTTGCAATCAATAGCCAAGAATGACAATTTAGCAGGCCATTGGACCATGGAACCAGTAAAGGTTACTTCCAACCGCACTAACAAACCGATCAGTGAAACTAAAACGTTAGAAAAAAATTGAATTAGTTGAGTATTTGCCAGCATGTCAGCTTGATTCTAAAACTAAAAATAGGCAAAGGCTTAGAGTCCATATCAACTTACACATCAGGTTTGTCTATTCCCATCCCAAAAGCAATGGTTGCACGTACAACCTGGACCTCTCCAGTACGCCATTTCTTTTGAACCGCTATTCTTTGACGGGCTGCTAATCCAGCATGATAGTACACCGTCTTTATACCACACTTATCATCCAAGTATTTTGCAACATCAACACATTCACTCTTCGAGAGGCAATACACTATGCCACAAAAATTAGCAAAACGATTCTTTAGCAGCTCTCCAAGCTGATTCAGTGGTTCCCTGGTCTTAGCTATGACCTCATATTTTAGGTTTGGTCTGTCAAAGCTTGTCTCGAGAACAAGAGCACGGGGGATCCTGAGAGCTTTTAGGATATCCTGCAATGGATGTACATTTCGATCAGACTCAAATGATTTTTTCAACATAATCTGGCGGATAGTGCGCAATTTGCGTACCTCACGAACTGGCTGAATGGCAGTTGCAGTTAAGGCCATTACTGGGAGGTATGAAAAGTTTTGCTTGAGACACATCCCAGTCGCCTATAATCTGGAAGAAAATCATGTCTCCATTGAC